ATAATCTAAACAAAACAAAAATATATTTAGTATCAGCATTGCACCCGTGCGAAGCTGGAGCGGGTCACTAGTAAATAATAATTCATCTCATTCTTCAACGAATGATAAGGTAACGATCGATGCAATTTTTTTCGATAATAATCTAAACAAAACAAAAATATATTTAGTATCAGCGTTGCACCCGTGCGAAGCTGGGGCGGGTCACTATTAAATAATAATTCATCTCATTTTTCAACGAACGATAAGGTAACGATCGATGCAATTTTTTACGATTTTTAGATAAGATTGAATTTAATTGAATTAATTCGCAAATCCATTAGAGAAAGTCATTTAAAATAAAATTGCTTCATGTAAAAATTAAATAAATAAAATTATACTATGTAAATAATTACTGTTTTTGAGGAAGAAATAGTGTCTCAACATAATTACTAAAAAGTGCTATTCACCAAGTGGGCCAAACTACAGTAGAGCGTCGATTATCCGAACTAATTGGGGGACTTGGGTGTTCGGAAAACCGATATTTTTGGATAATCGAACTGATTCAGCCATACATATTTACGTATAGGTAAATGAAAACTATGACGGCCCTCTAAGTTTTTCATTAAGTTTAACTACTTTTTTACACAGAATTGGGCCAGAAATAGGTTCTTCCTAGGCGGGCGTAGTAGTTCGGATAAGCGGTCGTTCGGTTGATCGACGTTCGGATAATCGACGCTCCACTGTAATTAGTTGCTCAGGGCTGGGTAAATTGCTACCTGTCTTTAGCTTGTAAAGGGTTTGTTGGTGCATATTATACATATGCTGTTAAGAATTTTATAGGACAGTATTACAGGGCGATTTCAAAGTCAAACTATTCATTGGCTTCTAATAATATCTCACACCAAATGATACCAAATCTCTCAAAACAATGCTCTCTTCGATGTGTAGTTGATGTAAACAATTGGATGGCAAAGAACAGATCGGAAAATTGATGGCCTAAGTCAACTCATTCTGGTACAATTGGCCCGAAGAAATGAATCTACCACCACAATCACGATATCAATAAAAACAATTAACAAAACGAAAAGAATCATGCCAGAAGTTGACAATTGACAATCGGACACTTTGCTACGTGGAACTCCAGGTCGTAACGACTATACGTACCAATTTTTGAGTATTGGTGTCCCCTTGTTTATATTCACTTGATTATCAATTACATATCAAAGATATCATTGTTTTTTTATATATTTGGTGATACTGTAGTTTCTTAGGCTTTCACGGCCGGTGTATATCACCACTGAAGATGCCGTCAGCAATAAACGGAAAAACGTTTGGAAAAGTAAAAATCCCCTTAAGAAAACACCGCATCGATATTTGGTAATAATAATTAGAAACCAATGAGTCATTTTGACTTTGAAATCGACCATCTGTTTCTATTCAGTACCTAGTGCTTGTGAACTGTTTCCTTCATCAGTCATTTTTATGTTATAATTTTTTATTTTGTTTGATTGAACTTTTTTCTGTACTGATTCTTCTATTTCTTCTATTATACAGAGACGGAGAGAAGACATTACTCATTACAAAAGCTAGGTCAGCGGAGCAGTCTGTCATATGGAGGTATGAGTCTCATTTTTTTTATTTTTTTGTTCTGTGCTTGATGTTCTTTTTTATGGACGGCATTATTTTGTATTGTGTAGTAAGGATCATAACTCAACAGATATTACGAGTCATGGGTTGCGACATTCTAATCATTTATGAAATTGATCGAGATTATTGCAAATTTAGTTTTCGTAGGCTTTTGAACAGGAATATTTGCTGTTTGTATATTTTACAAAATCTCTGTATATATTTATACACTATTTATAACTCAAGAATGGCTGCGCCGATTTTGATGATCTCTGATTATTCGGATTCGTCTCCTCCAAGAATAGCAGAATAATTATTAAAATATCGGAATTCACATAAAAAAAATAATTGCATCGAAATGAAAAAAAAAACAAAACAACTGTCAAATCGATTAACCTCAAGCCTTCCAGATTATTCGTTCAATTAAGTACCACAAGATCGACAACACAGAATGTACTAGAAATTTTTAGAATAATCTATTATCGCATAAGCTATAAATTGCGAATATTGTCTTTGGTTTGTTAAAAAAAAAAAAAAGACGAGGTTACCGGTTAATTTGTTTTTTTTTGTGCGAATGTTGTTAATAAATTTTATTGTGCGAGTATCTAAATACATGAAATAAAGTCGGATTAGTTACACCATTTATAACTCAAAAACGGCTGGACCGATTTTAATGACCTCTGATTTGTTGAATTTGTCCTGAATAGTGGAATAACTATTAAAATATCTGAAAAATTGGCAAAAAAATTATACAAAAAATTCATTTTTAAATAAATTAGGTTTGGAACATACGCCATCTTACTCAATTGACATCTCCCTTCACGAACGCTTATAGCTTATTTGTAATAATTGATGTCCATTGCAAATCAGTGACATACTACACATTATAGAATAGAAATTCAGCAGAAAGTAGGGGGAAAACAGCGCTTTCAAATATAGAAAAATATTGAAATATGTATAGGGTACTTGAACAGAAATGTAAACAAAAATACAGAGAACAAATGTCAACAACTGTCAAATCGATTAGTATCAATCATTGCAGATCATTCGATCAATCAGTCATCAGTACCACAAGATTGACAACCCAGAATCTGTGAATTATATTATTACGTTAATAAAATTCGAAATAAATTGTAAGTTTAGCTGAAAGTTAACATGACAGTCATAAACTGTCAGGGGTGCGAAGTTCACCGGGTCAGTTAGTAAATACATAAAAAACTATGTAAATGCAATTGATGACAAATTTTATTGTAGGTTGCTAACAAATACATTACATACTTGTCTTAACTTGAGGAATAGTATATAATTTCAGAACAAAACACAACTTATTGGACCATGAACTGATGCTGTTCTCATTTGAGTCTAAAAGTCATCGTGTGAATCCGCATCCAGCATCGGAGATGGAAGGACCTCTGAAGAAGCTCTCTACTCGTGTTAGCGAAACGTTAGGAAGCATTTCTAACATACGACGGCCTTTAGACTCGAATCAGAACAGCATCAGTTCACCTACTGGACCATTATCCATGAAAGAGAAACATATACCATATGTCTCAAAAAGAAGTGCTTAAACAAAACAATTGAATCAATGCGAATTCATTGCCATAAACCTTGTATTGTTAGGGTTTCAACCGCTTAATTTTTGCTTAAATTCTAAGCAATTTAGCCAAAATATATCAAGTTAACTGACGGTGGTAAAGTTTCGGTTTTGGAGGGTTCTTTGTTACCAAAACTTCCCAAACTGACTGTTAGAGCCACGACCGTGGTTAACGCGAGGAGGTTTTACAGTAAATAGTATAATATATAGGTACTTGTAGCTGTGAAGTTTTTGGAGATTCCTGATTTCGCGGTACACGAACGAGTTTTAATTGGAAAATGTGAATTTAAAGTCTCATAATTCGGTTTCCGTCAACAAAATTGCATTCAAATGCAATCGCGCAATTCGAACCATCAGCTAATGAGTTCCTCGAATAACATTGTACATGACAATGAAACGTGGAACAATTTGTGTTCTAAACTTTTATTAACAGTTCGGAGTGGACTGTAAAACGCGTAGCCGGCGTTTGTTCGTTTGTTAAATTGCAAATTCGCCATTGTTATTTCGAGTATTACTTCAACTTGACTTCCAGCGTCCGCTGCGTTTCAATTATCATTACGAGAATACGAAAATAAAATACTCAAAATTCAGAAGTACACGATCCTCTAATGTATTTCCTCGGTTGGAGCAATCAACAATAACATCTAGGAAATTTCACAATTCATTTTTTTTTAAATTAAAACTTACTATGATGTGCAGGTTTTGGTCTAAAAATGAAAATGTATTATAACAGTAACATTTTTTTTCAAGGAATAGTGTACAAAAATATACATATTAGATAACTAACGTGCCACCAACTAAGGGTGTGTTCCGAAATATAACCCAGCACACTGACCAGTGCTGATGACGTCATGAATCGACGCCATACTGTTGATTCGTTCCGAAATATACTGGCCAGTGCGTTGACATCAAACTGTCGCCATATTGAGAATAATGCTTGTGCTCGTTTACAACACTTTCGCTTCAAAAGTTATTAAAGTTTCTTACAACAAACAATTCCTCAAAGTGAGATACACACACGTCCGTTTGATATACTACTACGTCACACTTGTCTCACCAGTACAATATGCATCATCCGCAGTGGCCAGTATGCTGGGTTATATTTCGGAACACACCCTAAGTGAACTATCTATACCAGGGATGAGCAACACGCGGCCCGCGGTCCGCTTGCGGTCGGTTAAACATGTTTATGCGATCCGCCAAGCATTAATAAAACTGAATTTATATTATCGACTTTGAATCGAAAATGTTTTCCTCGCCATTTAATGTTGACGTGGATACAGTTCGTGGAAGACTTTCAAATGGAAGTGATTGACATCAAAAATTTTTATAAATCGTATGTGAACTCTGAGAAATTTACGCTTTTGACGAAAAATACAAAGCAAATGATGTCTCTGTTAGGAAGTACGTACATATGTTTGCGAACAATTATTTTCAACCATGAAATTAGTCAAAAATGACCACCGATCAAGATTGAGTGATGCACCATTAGAAAGCTGCGTACGTGTAGGTACCTCATCAATTCCACTTGATATTTATCAGCTTGTATCGAAAAAACAGTGCCAAATTTCTCATTAACCATTTCAAGACAATTCGTTTTATTGTTCTTTTCTTGTTTGTTTTTATTTTGCATTAAAATTTGTATTTTTAATCTTTTATATTTTTTTATTCTAATGTTTATTATAAATAAAGTTTTGTAAATTATTAATAAGTGTTACTTTATGTGCGGTCCGCCAAAAAATTTTAAAATTTAAATTGGCCCTTTGATTAAAAATGTTGCTCACCCCTTACCTATACTATTCCTAATGCGAAAAAATGGTGTTCTCTAAAAAGAAACTGCACTGTTCATTTTCAAGTAATACCTAGACAGCACAGTTTTTATTGGTTTTAAATTGAGCGTATCTATTTAATTAATTTGAGTCTCTCTGTAGAAGTCATTAATTAACTTCGGCAGCTATAATATCTGAGAAATAACTAAATTATAAGTAATAAAATAAACCACTCATTGTGCCATTAAGGTAAATGACATCACACTAGGTTAATGTTGACAATTCTAATAAAATGGAGCCAAGTTCGTTACGTTAGAGGTCGTCGGTTTTGCTGATAGCCGATAAATGAATTGAGATCTAGAGTTCCGAAAAGAAACACCCTCCGATTGGCTTCAAATTTTTATCACTATGGGCTAAATGATGATACCAGCAAAGATTTTTGGCGATTCGAACTAGAAAAAGTAAGTATCTAAAAAAAATTGTTGTGCATTGTTCATTTTAATCGTTTTTGAAATATAAGTACAAAGGTTTTTACGGCCAGAATCCATAGTAGAATGAAGATTCGGGCTATAGGGCCGTGGTCTAAGTGAACTATTCTGTCCAGACGTTTTCAACGCAGCACTACCACTGAGGATGCCAGCCGCAGTAGCTGATGAAACGTCTGGGCAGAATAGTTCACTTAGATCACGGCCCTATAGCCCGAATCTTCACTCTACTACGTTTTTGAGATATTGGTGGCAGCCCTTTCTTTTTTTTTTTTAAACTTCACTGACACGGTGCCGTGTATCTGGGTCACATACTTGGTACTAACCTTGGCGTAGTAATTTATATTAAGATGGTTTTGTTTTGATTTTGGCACGGACAATCTCAGATTTATTTGTTAAACAGCGAATGAAAATGCATCCACCGAAGGCATTTCAGAGGAATCCTAAAAGTTCTGTAATGGAATAGAAACAGTAGGATTTAGACATAACGTAAACCTAGCGTGGTATTTTAAGCTGATTTAATTTAGACGGCTGCGTTTTATACATATGGGTAGTGGTGTGTTAGATCTCGTGAAATAGACTCATTTCATTAAATCTGGGAGAATTCCTTTTGTCTATATGCGTTTTAGTTGAATTATTAGTAAATGTAAACCGAAACGGTCATATATCTGGGGAAAAATATAGGACATAAAATGTAAAAAAACACATATTCTATCTGTCAGCGTGTGCAGGCGTCTTAACTGCTTTTTTCAAAAAAATATCGTAGAGCCTCGTCTGGTAGGTAATAAAGTATAGTAACCAAAACAAATTTCAATACTTACTAAAAATATTTATAGGTATTGGAAATTTTAAATCGGTTAAGTTGTTTACTAGTATGAGAAGGTGTTAGAAAGAGTAGAGAGAAGGGCTCTATGAAAGTAAGTAAGGCATAGGCGTGATAGGTTGCCCAAATATACTGAGTTAAAGTTTCTAAGAAATTAAAAGCAGCTACTGGAAGTGTGGTCGTTTCGAAGAGGTTGTTGAGTTGAGATGTTTTACTGTATATGTTACCGAAAATATAAGAAATCTATTTAGGAAATGCATGAAACATTGTTTCAAAGATTTTTTGATACACACATATCCTGAGAAATGTATACATTTCCT